GGCAGATGACATCGCTGGAGAATGCTACCTGGCAGAGTTAAAAACCGGCGGTGAAGAAACAGGTGAGGAGGCACCGTGGGGAGCAGACAGTGAGAGTGCCTCCCGTGCCAGGCAAGGACGGCACCGGCGGCCACCGGGAGGCCCCAGGGCAGACCCATTGGAAGGGCCCGCGAACAGTTAAAGGGACGAGGATGGCATCGAGGGACCACGGAGCTGCAGACACTGAAGTTATAAGTGGGAAAGGGCTAAGACCCCACTCCCTCCTTTTTGTTTCCATTTAACTTGTTCTTTTATGGATCACCCTAAGGGCCCCTAAGAAAGGTCAGGGGTGACATGCAGAGGAGAGGAGCAGCTGAGATGACACTGTGTGCAGCAGTGCAGCCAGGGAGATCCAACATAGCTACAGGGACTGTGGAGCGTCCTGAAGAGATCAAGGACAGGATAAGATCACTAGGAACACGGCGGACAGGAATGGCACAGGAGTCAACCTCAAAGTGCGAGCCAATCGATCATAGAGTGGCTGTCATAAGGATTGACGCATGGCTGGGGTGTAGGGGAGGTGGAACCCGAAGAATTCCCACTAGGGAGTATGACTGACCTGGAAGGCGCTACGAGAGGGAGCCCCACCACTGAAGGGAAGAACAGTGTCGTGGCAGGCAAGTTTTGGCGCTTCCCTCAGGGAGAACGCGAGCCCTCGCCAAGACTGCAGGAGCCAACACTGCGGCCAACCCCAGGCGCACACTCCAAGGCAGCAAGGGAACGCCTATACAAGACTAGGCAGGCATGGGGCGTAAAGCCAACATCTTCCCACTGGAAATGAAAGTGGGAAGGTAACTATACATTACCTCTGTCCGGGTACTAACCCATGCCAGAACAGTGGTTATCCCCTGTCCCTAGGAAAACCACCTGCTAGATCAGGGGTGGGCAAAATATGGCCCGTGGGCTGGATCTAGCCCACCAGGCCATTCTATCTGGCCCATGGGGCCCCTAAAACAATTAGTACATTAATATTTATTTGCTCCTGGCTGCCTGTGAAAGCTGACACGAGTCAGAGGCAGTAGGACCCAAGGGAAGCCCTCAGCAGAGCGAAGCAGCCCAGCCCCACCCCACCCCACCCCTAGCCATTTCACTGTCTTCCTACCCCTGCCCTGCTCCAGCACCACGTGAATTCTGGCTGCATCGCTGGACCAGGGAGCACAGGGCCGTGTGTGTGTGTGTGTGTGTGCGCGCGTGCAGGCAGGGGCAGTGTGTGTGTAGGGAGGGGGGTTGTGTGTGTGCAGGCAGGGGCAGTGTGTGTGCGTGTGTGTGTTCATAGGGTGAGTTGCACACACACACTGCACCATACACATGCACCCACACCCCCCTTACACTGTCATACATGCAGACTCACACACTCCCTCACACACCCCAGCCACCCTGCCCTACACATAGCCCCCCACCAGCTCCATACCCACCCACACAGCCACAGCCCCCCCCACTAACTTATGCACACCCCTCACGATATACAAGAGTAAGACTTCATTTTAAGCTATTGTGCAATCACTTTTGTGTACTTGAAACAAATGCATGTAAATCAAGACAAAAATATTTTTGAAATCAAATTAATGAATGCTGTAGTTGTTTACTTTTTAAAATATAATTTGGTATTCTGAGATGACAAAACCCCTTGCTGAAAGGAGTACTTCCTGGGGTGGGACGGGACTTAAGGTGGCAAAGGTCAGGGGTTAGGGAGCAGGACTTCCAGTTACAAGATGGAGACCAAGGGGCAGGGCAACTGTCAAGGGGTGGGGCTACCTATGCGGCCCTCAGCAGCTTGCAAAAACTTGGTAAGCACCCCCCTGCCTAAAATAATTGCCATCCCTGTGCTAGATCATGGTGTCCCTTCTGCCAGGTAACCTTATGGAAACCTACCATAAAGATAGGTGAATAGAGCCTGTATGTATAAGGTAGGGGGGTGTGTGTGTGTGCGTGTGTGTGTGTGCGCGTGTGTGTGTCCCCAACCCAGTGTCAGCTCTTTTTCAGGTCATGGTGAGCCACTGCATTGAATACATTTCAACTTCCTCTTCACTCCCACAGCTGAACTTCACCTTTCTTTCCCACTTCCAGTCATTCCTGTTTCCTTATCAGCCTTAAAGGTTTGGAAAACGTCACCAAATGGGGCCCCAAAGAGTTCATCCAGAAGCCCTCTGTCACCCCCTTTCTTAGCCTGTCTCATAGGATTAGTGTGGCTCTGCCGTCCAGGAGGTGGAGTCACACCAGGTTGCCCTGTGCCTCATTCAAATATCAATTTTGGAGGATCCCAGAACTGACAAGAGCACCTGGTTCTAGTCATGTGTGGGTGTCTAATTAGCACATGGACCCTCTGTGGGCAATATCTGGAGTACCCATATGTGTTAAATAGTGCTGAGCTCTGGGATCACCGTGGCTTGAAATGCTGTTGTGTCTGCTGGGGTCCAACTCAGTGAACTGTATGATAAATCATGAGTCTTTTGGCTTGTGTCTAATTTCATGCATAGTTGAGAACCTTTTTTTTTTCTTTTTTGTATCACTGCTTTGCCTTTTGGCTCAGATCAAGTGTAGTTCCTGTTCCCATCAGAGCAGAGGACCCTTGTGGTCTCCACCTACGTGTAGGAGTGAGGGAGACTGGTCTCATTTTTGGATTTCAGGTGTCCAGGCAGCCAAGGCAAGGAAGGCAGCAACTTCCAGAAGAGGAGCAGCCAGAAGAGGAGTAGCAGGATCGAATGGAAGAGGTTTCCCCATGGGTTTCAAGGTGAATGGATATGAATTGCAGTCTGGTCTTCTCCCTAATGGCATGAGTAGAGAAGATTTTAACAACAAAGTTCTACAAGAGCTACTCCAGGTAAACAAGGAAGATCTATTTTACATATGGAGGCTGCAAACTGGCAGTCAGGGCAGAAACCAAAACAGCCTGCTTCATGAAATACTTTGCAGGGCACCTGTTGTGAAACTGGTGGGTATGCTAGCTGCCATGGTTCTACAAGTTCCGTGAGCAGTTCTTGAACAGATATAAGGTACAGAATGAAACCCCAAGAGCCCTGACTAACCACTGGAAGATGCAGGAAATAGTAAGGGGAAGGGACAGACTGACACCTGTGGATGTACTCCTTGGCAACAGCTGCAAGGCCATGTGGGAGTGAATCTTCCAGGAAGAAGGAAATGCATAGAAACTTGAACTGGCAAGCAGCCCACCAGGCACCCTCCATGTGGGCACTGAACAGGGTTCAAATTATAAGGGAGCTCTGGGGTGCTGAGACGAGATAAGAGACAGGAGCACCCCCATAAGAGATGAACTTCATTCCCTCCCCTCCCCCCCATCCCACACCTCAGGCAGCAGTGGCAGCAGATGTGGCTCCTTTCAGCTTCTGGCTGTCACTGCCACAGACTCCCACTCAAGAATCATAATGTAATTCGAACCCTGATGCTGACACACAGAGAGGCTCTCCAGCCTTTCCCAAGGCAAACCTGCTGGTGGATGGAGAAGCAATTGATCACCTCCTTTGGAGCTGCCCATATGCCACGGAGGCATGGGGGAGAGTAG